GATGAATACAAAGATATTACTTGTCCAAGACCATTCTATACTGGCAACAAATAAAATATTTAGAACAAAAACACCTTCATTACTCTATCACACTTGTTAATTTGTCCCATTATTGTCATTAAGTTTAATAAGTTTAATCTTTTGACAAATATTGTTAGTTTTAAAGTAAAAAAGTACTAAAATAATTTATATACTTAATATGCCCTCATAAAAAGGATATAAGTATATTAAAAGAATAAAAAAAGTAAAATCATGACAAACATCATAAAAGCACAAAATAAAGTAAATAAAAAATTATTAGAAGAAAATGAAAATTTAAGACAACAACTAGTTGAATTAACAAATAAAGAACAAGATTTAAAACTAAGAATCTATAATGCAGTTGAAAACGTTAAATAAAGCAAAAATTCAGAAATTGCTGCTACTATGATGACCTTAGAACAATATTTTTTACCCCAAGATGAATTAACCCTTGAAAACTTTGTTAAAGGTTGTGCTGAATGAACATTACTTAATTGTAATTCTTATAGTTTTGTTTCTAAAAAGAATGAAGAACTTAAAGAAAAGAATGCTATTTTAGAAAAAGAAAATGTTGAGTTAGAGAAAACTAATCAAGAGTTAGAAGAAAAACAAGAGGAATTAGAAATAAGGGTAGAGGAAGTAGAAAAGGCATTAGATGTTGGTCAGGAGGAAAGGTGAACCCAGAAAGAAGCATTAATGAAAGAAGTGGAGGAGAAATCAAAAATTTTAGTGGTGATTGGCAATAAACTCAATTGTTGTGAAGAGGAAGTTAGAAGATTACAAAAAGAATTGGAGGGTAAAACAAAAAAATTAGACTTAGACAACCAGAAAATTAGAGAACAGGGAGAAAAGATTGAAAAATTAGAAAGTAAACTTTATTATTCTCTTGAAAAAGATTCACCTAATTTGCCTAAAAAACAAAGCAAGTTTCAACACTTTAAAACACAAACAAAAACTCATTTTCAAAAACTAATAAAAAGTGTAAAATCTCAAACAAAAATTTCAAAACCAAGAATTTATTGCTGAGATAGAAGTAAAAATAAACAGGTTTAGTATTATGAGAGAATTAATTTACACAATTTTGGAGCTGGAAAAAGAATACAAAAACAGAAATTGTGAATTTTGTTCTAATCATAATATAAAAGCTAACAAAGCCATTAAAGAAATAATAACTAGGCACAAAGCAACTGATGAACTGGTTGCAGTTGATGTAATTTGTGGGAAAAGTATTGCAATGATCAAATATCAAAATGCAAAAGATGTGGAAGATTACAGACTAAATTGGATTTCGATTTTTTTAGTGGAAAAAATGTTTGCTATTGTGTTAGAAATGATGAGAACCTAGAAGAAAAAGAACTCCCTCTCCTACCCCATCAAAGAGAAGGAATGGTACTTTTTTATGAGACACAAATAAACTCTTTACAAGAACAATTAAATGAAGCAGAGTGAACCATAGTGATGGAAAGAGAAGAAGTGGCCAAGTTTCAGGAAAAATCAGAAGAGTGAAGTAAAAAACAGAAACAAGAGTTATTGGATAAGATAAAAGTTTAGAAGAGAAAATTAATCATCTAGAAGAGGAAAACAGGAAATTAAAAGATCAACAGAATGGTCAAATTGCTCAGATTGAAGTCAAAGAGACTAAAAGATGATCTTGATTGAAAATAAGAGAGTAATTTCCCTCTGTATAATTCCAACCATCAAAGAAATGGTATTTATTTTCCTTTTAAAGATTTTTGCTTTTTATTAGGTAATAATACATCATCATGATGCTTTCTTTTTCCAACACTTATTATTTTTCTTTCTTCTTGGTAAATTTCATAGGTAATCCTTTCTTTCTTTAGATAAGCTTCCAGTGTTTGAGTATCATTTATTTTGAAAATGTAAGGAGCAATTTTTTCACCTTGCTCTTTCTTCAAAATACTTCTAATGGTGCTGTAATTTTTGGGTTCCATAGTAGATCTGATATAAATGAGTTTCATATTAACTATTTTTATATAGGGATAGTTCTATATATCACTTAAGATAACAAATGGGATATTATAAGACTGTTAATTATGATCACATTACAAATGACTAATTTTTGATCCCTGAATTTCTTGGTAATACAAATGTTCACTTTGCCTGGTTTTGTTGCAGTATGCCCCAATTTATGATTGTGAAAAATGTGTTTTTTTAGCTGGGTGTCATCAGGTAATAATAACAATAGTATTAATAAGAAGAGCATTACATTATTATCACTATTAAGTTAATATTTAATTAGTTTTGTATGCACACATCAAAGCAAATTTCAGTATATCTTCATCATCTGATAATTGAAGATTGTGAACATTCATTTTGGATTTTATGCATTAACAACATTTCCTGAACTAGATAAAATGTTTGAGGTAAATAAATTTTATAATAAATGGTATAATATATATATACTTAATTATATATAATTAATTAAATTTATTTATTAAAATTAATCCCCCTTCCTCCCTTTTTTCTTAGACAGTAAAATTAGATTTGAAAATTAATAAATATGATAAAGTTGATGATTTTAATTGGTTGAAACAACAAGCTTCTCCAAATTGGAAAATCATTTCACCAGAGCATATAATAGAAAAATGGCCTTTAGTTAATAATGATAACAATATAAATGTTGTAGAGACTATTGAAAATCTTTTAAAATCTCAAGAATATTAAATCAAAGATTATTTAGCATTGTTATTGCTATTGTTATTATTATCTTATAAAAAAAAAGTTCATATTTTGAAAATAAATTTTATTATTATTACTGCATCAAAATCATTCATATCAATGGTAACATCTTGAGAATTAACCATCATAATCTCATTATGACTCCTCAGGTCATCCATCAATTGGTTGGTTCTTATTATTATCAACTCATTAGTTTAGATATAGGAGAAAGTTCAAACTTGTAATAAATGATAATCATGCATCTTATCTGATATGTATAAATTGCGATTTACTCTAAATCAGGGATCAGTGTTCGAAATTTGACTGCATCTTAACATAAAACTATATAGAAATTAAAATTTCCAGACTGCATGGTTCTGACGAACACTGATCAGGATCAGGGACACACAGAGTGCCACAGAAATCACGGAAAGCACAGGACCCGACAACTACATACATAGATAGGTTACCCTAATATAATGAATTTACCCAAAATCTTATTGGCTAAGTGACATCCTTAACATAAATAGACTAATTCATCGACAGCAAAGATGATCAATGGCGATTCTTACTCTTAATAGTAAGATCGTTAACCTTTATTATTATTTACCAAAAAAAAATGTAACCTATTTATGTAACATGATAATCAAAAGTTTTTTTTTATGCGACCAGGATTCTAGTAATTTTTGTGACCATTTTGTTGATTGA